ATACCCGAGGCAGGAAGGGGTTGTGCTGGTGCATACCTGAGGCAGGAAGGGGTTGTGCTGGGGGCATACCTGAGGCAGGAAGGGGTTGTGCTGGGGGCACTGGGTGGGTTCTAGAATTCAGGTGAAGGCCTAACCTCAGCCGTCTCTGAGCTGGCTTGACCTTAAGTGTCCCCGAGCTGTTCTCCAGGGCAACAGTCTGTGATCCTTATCAGAAGGGAGTGGGCCGTACTTAGGGTGGGACAGACAGGGGAGGGGTCTGGCTGCTCTTGGTGCAAGACAACCTGCAGGCAGAGGCCCCCAAGGGCATGGTAGCTGCCTTGTGTGCTGGTAAGCGGGACACTATTACGGGGGGGATGTTGTGGGGAAAAGCTTTCACGTGGGGAATGTGACTGGGCTGCATCCCCTCATTCTGGAGGGAGAAAGACAAGGCTTCTACTCCCCAAAGAGCTACCCTTGCTCCCTGCCCCGTGGGTCACTCCTATGAGTCAGAATCGACAGACTGGGCAGTGGCCCTAAGTGTGCTTTGGTTTCCTCTGAAACGTTGGAGCAGACTTTGTGTGAGAGGCCTGGGCAGCCAGTTCTGTGTGTGTGTGTGTGTGTGTGCACGCGCACAGCTGTTGTGGGCACACTTCGGACATTGTCTCTTTTGAGAGAGAGACTGAACTCGGTGGCTCTGGTGTGGTCCGTTAGCTGCCAGGCCTCCCAGGGGACACCGATGGGTGAAGACATTGCTGCCTGTGAGCAGTGTCTGCACGTGTTCCCATAACCGTCCTGCCTCGCATGATGTGAAGGGGGGCCGACCAGGCTGGGGCCAGGGGCGGAGCGGGCGTATCTCCCGTGGTGTGGGCCGTCTTCTCAGACCTGTTCCTTGGCTCAGGCTGTCTGTGTTCTCTTGTAGGCTTTTGTAAACTGGGACGAGGCCAAACTGACTTGGAGTTTTTTCCAACAGTCTTTCTTGAAGCAGATTTTGACAGAAGGTAAGTGGACGAGCCGAGCCTCTCTGAGCAGTCAGGAAACCATGGCAAGTACCAGGGGTTTCACAGGACGGCCAAGCACCTGGCTCCCAGCACCCACAGTGGGAGCCCCAGGCAGCGGGGGGCCTCCACAACGAGAGCCCCTGGAATACGGAGAACGAACCAGCTTCCGTTTCATTTTATGTTCCCATACGCTCTTTCGCTTCAGTCTCTCCACAGCCTCAGGAAAGATGTAGCTGTGTGTTGTGGCTGAGGAAACTGCCTATCAGGAAGTTCACATAGCTTTTTCAGCTCCCACAGGAGTGAGTAATAGCTGCATCTGAATCTACATCTGACGTCCAAACTCAGGACATGCCGTTTTAACAGATTTAATACACAGTCACAGGAGCATACAGCCGTTTATCAACAGTCAGGTTTCAGAAGTCTGTATGTGAGAGATGACATCATGCGAACATGGAGGGGGACCGTCCAGATCCCAGAATGGAGGGTGACTGCGTGGTTTTCTAAAACCCACTGCTATCGGGTGAGTCCATTCCGACTTGTGGTGACCCTGCACACAGGGTTGCCGAGGCTATACGTCTTTACTCAAACGGACAGCCTCATCTTTTCCCAGGGAGCAACTGGTGGGTTTGAACTGCCAACATCTTGGTTAGCAGTCTGACGTTTACCCAGCAGTGCCACTGTGATGTAGCTGCCACACTGCACTATTACATAACTGCCAGGCCACTGAGAACCGAGGTGCAGCCAAACCCACGCCTGACCTTGGCAGAGCAGCCGCGTCAGTGTGCTCGCACCCGTGTTTGTGGCTGTGGGATACGGGCCACAAATGGGCAGAAAGGCGGCTCTCCTGTTTCTATCCAGCTGGACTTCAGAGTGAGGATTCAGTTAGCTATACATTGCCAGGTGTAGTCATTTCTCTGTACAGTGAACCCTCATTTATCGTGGTTAATCGGTTCTAGACCCTACCGTGATAAATTAAATTCCGCGAAGTAGGATTCCTTATTTGTAAATCAAATATTTTTGTAGTTAGAGCATAGAGGACATGAAAAAACACCCTTTAGTCACCATGACACTCGTATTACCCAATTTATTAAACGAAAAAGGGAAAATACAGTAAAACATTTTGGACGTTACAATTATCATTTATTATTTATTATATTATTTATGGCATCTAGTTTACAGTATTACATATTTCACATACAGTATTATTATACATAGTTCTTACAAATACTGTAATCAATGGCGTGCAACCTCCATGATTTTCTTGCCATCTTTGATCATATCCAAAAGTTTTACCTTTTCCTGCGTGGTGAGCATCTTCCTCTGGCGCTTATTTTTATTGTCAGAAGGCTTAGAAGAAGCAGCTCATTTAGGAGCCATCATAGGGCTTAGATAAAATTTCTTAAAAATCGCAAACAATTACAGTACACTGTACAAAAGCAAAAATGCATCTGATACGTAGCTCCGATACGTAGCGATGCAGACAGAAGCGTGTACAGTATGAGCCAATCTGGCAGTAATGACAGAGCATGCGCTGTTACGCAAAAACCGCGATAGAGTGAAGCCGCGGAAGTCGAAGCGCGAAGTGGCGAGCGTTCACTGTATATACAAATTCCCATGTTGTACATCTACAGGTCTGTTACTGGACATTTTTATAAAACTATTTTTTTAAATATCTTTTCATTATAAAGGTAACGTGACCCCAATCACCAAAACTTTCAGAATATGACCCATCGTTGCGGCGTTCAAATACAACCAATGCCAGTATCAATTGGGGTGTTTTTTCGTTTCCTCCTCTGTCGATATTTGCTGTTAAACACGCGTCCGGAGGGAAGTAGCGCCCCCCGATTGCTCACCGTTCCTGCCTGCCAGCTAAGGGAGTAGACCAGCAGCTGCCCAAGGGCTCCCTGAGCTCTAAAACGGTGTGTGTCCCACGTGTGAGCCCACACAGCTGCGGGTACAAAACGCGCTGCTGCTGAGGAGCCCTGAGGCGAGGAGGCCGCCTTGGGAGGCTGGGTGAAGGCGCATCACACTCAGCTCTGGGAAAGGAGGGAGTGTGCCTTCAGCAGGTCCCCAGGGAGTACGTGTGGGTGCCAACAGCGGGAATAGCGACAGAGGCAGCTAGGTCTGTTGAGCGGAGTCGTGTGGGGGATGGCGGACGTTCCTAGCTTGCAGAACCCGGTGAGGAGGTTGACGTGTGCACCTTGCTTACCTTCCGCGAGCTGGCAGGGCCGGCCGTGTGAGCGAGCTGGGAGAGCTGGCTGTACTTTGGTGTGTTACAGCAGCAGCTCTGCAGGGGCCCCATGAAAGCCTCCAGAGCTGGGCCTCGTTGTGGCCCTTCCTCCACACTTGGGACCACCTTGGCCTGGCCTCTTAAGTGACGAGAGGAGATTGAGAAGGGGTCTGGGACTGGCCAGCCTCCCGGGCCCACCACCATCGCCCTAGTTGTCAAACAGGTGGTCTGCCCTTTGGCCCCGGTCCTTGGCTGGTTGTCTTTTCTTTTGTTTTTCTCTTTAAAAACCTAGCTCTACAAAGGCTGAAACCATTCTTCGTAGCAGCAAAAATGTGAACGTGGTTACCTGCTTGGCCTGCACTTCCCAAGCACAGTGTGGGGTGGGTGGGTTGGTTTGAGGAGGCAGAGCTGCAGGAATGAGTGACAGGCCCTGGCCTCAGGGAGCCCCCTCTGTCTGCAGAGCCATGGACATTTGTGTGGGGGTGCACTGGACCTGGAGACCAGCCGGGAGGGCTGCACTCAGAAGCCCAGCTTGTCTCCCAGCGCTCCCCTGGCATCCAGGAGGGAACAGAATGCAGGCAGATAGGCGGTTTTGCGGGAGGCAGGGAGGCCCCGGCTCCAGAGCTGTGCCGTGCCGGCCTCAGCTGAGCGCTCGATCCTGCAGGAGGAAACTCAGTGGACGAGCAGGGCCCCGTGCCGGGCCCCCTTCATCTCAGGGTTCACACGCACGCTGATCTGGCCGCCTTGGGACTGGGGGGGACTGGAAACCGCATGAAGATCAGGGATTCGGTCAGTCTTGCTGGGAGAATCTTCTCCAGTGGGACATCAGAGGGTGAGAGATCAGGGGACAGTGGGCCCTGTGCTCCAGTGACTTGATGATTCTGCTTTTCTGTTTGCAGGAGAGCGCTATGTGATGACCTTCTTGAACGTGTTGAGTTTTGGAGATCAGGGTAAGTTGGCATCCTGCAGGGCTGGAACGGAAGGTGGGCACCATTAACACAAGGGAGTTTGTGGGGAAGTCCCGTTGCCTGTGAATTCAGCTTTCCTCGGGGCATTTTGAAGCCTCCTTGTAGGTATTTCCGCTACTGTTCTCTGTGGTGTGACTTCCTGAACGAGAGCAAATCAGTGAATTGGATAAAGATACGCCGTGTCCTGACGTCCCTCCGGGAAGCCCTGGTGTAGAGGGGTTATGCATTGGGCGGCTAACCTCAGGGTCAGCAGTTCGAAACCAGTCCAAGGGAGAAAGACAGGGCTTTCTACCCCGTAAAGAGTTGCCTTCTTGGAAGGGTCTGCCCTGTTTTGTAGGGTTGCTGAGTGGGCACCGGCTGATGGCAGTGAGCTTGGTCTCTTGAGTGTGACTCTCCCTCAAAGTGACTTGGGGGCAGGCTCCTGCTGAGACACCAGTCCCCCCTGCCCTGTTTCCCTCCAAGCTCTGTTGAATATGTTGATGGGTGGAAGAGGCGAGGGCCATCCTACAGACTCAGATGTAGGGAGATGAGTCTCTCCCAGATGTAAAAACAAAACCTTATTTTCACGCTTGATGTTGTGTTGAGAACTTACACCGCAAACTGTAACAGCAATTCCACAGTTTCTGCAGGGACCCCTCGGGGACACTGATGGCCTTCTTTGGTCCTCTAGAGAGGCCGTGGTCACTGTGGTTCCCGCAGACAGTCCTGGAGAAAGCATCCTCCCACGAGTCTTCCCCTCGCTCTTGAATGTGCCCAGTGAGAGGGGGCGAGACAGAGGCCAGCCTGGCACTGCTGGACTTGACAGCACAGTCCTGGAAGTATCCCCAAGGTGCCAGGAAGGCCCTGGGTGTTGGCTGGAGATGGGCATCCGTACCCCAGTGCTGGTGCCGTGCCGCGGTGCTCTAAGGTGTCACCGTGGTAGGGAAGCTCGGTACCAGGCACATGGTGGGGGCGGTCTCCCTCGTGATTTCCTACCGCCACATTGGAACCCTCAGTGATCTTGAAACAAAAAGTGTAATTTGAACAGTCAATCAGGAAGTCAGTGTTGGGGTGCCAACCGCGAGGTGGGCCGGGCTGTTCAGAGCTCCAACAGCCCCACGGGAGAATGAAGAAGCCGCCTGCTCCCGTTAGGATGCCTGGCACCCGCTGTGCGTGGCTGCTCTAAGTCAGAGTGGCCTCGCTGGCAGCAGGCTGGGTGGCAGCTGTGGAGACGCGGGATGACTGCAGCCCTTTGGCTCCCAGGTGTCTACGATGTCGTGAACAACCTCGGCTCCCTTGTGGCCAGGTTGCTGTTCCAGCCGATTGAGGAGAGCTTTTACGTGTTCTTTGCGAAGGTGCTGCAGAGGGAGAAGCGCGCCACACTTCAGAAGCAGGTAGTCTTGGCCCACATGGATACTCCCTCCGACTGTCAGATAAGCAGGAACATGGGGGGCGGGGGGGGCGCGTCTCTCTCCCCGCCGCTGGGGCTGACATGCTGGCCTGGACCCCGCTGTCCTCCCCGGCCGGACCCCTTCTTCCCCTTTCTCTCTGACCTGCCCCGCCCCGGCCCTCAGCAAGCCTCCCTTTGGGGCACAGATGCCTCTCCACGCCTGGTCTCGGTGTCAGGATGCGGTTGTCCCCCTGCAGGCTGAGTCCAGGGTGAGGGGCTGGAGAGAGGCAAACGTGGTCTTTCTCCCTCACCCACCAGTTATTCATTCCCATGTGTGTACTCCACCTGGTGGACACGGAGGGAGAGGGGGCTTGATTGTAGATTCCGTCCTTCATTTTAGAAGAATCCATTCCAGACTGGCCCGCAGGCGGGGGCAGTTCTGTCTGGAGTCGGAATGACTTGAGACCCAAGGCGGGGCTCCTGCCCTTTCCTCTGGTTTGGTAGCAGACAGACAGACAGACAGGCTGTCCGTCGAAGGAGGGGTGTGAAAAACAGGCCGGGGTGGGGGGTGGGGGGAACTCCAAGCTCCTGACTCACCAGGGTCCCCCCTCCCTGTGCAGGAGGACTTGGCTGTGGCTGCCATGGTGCTGGAGTCCCTGCTCAAGCTGGCCCTGCTGGCCGGCCTGACCATCACTGTGTTTGGCTTTGCCTACTCTCAGCTGGCTCTGGACATGTACGGAGGGGCCATGCTCAGCTCAGGATCAGGTATGCCCGTGCGAGCTAAGGTAGATTCTTGTCCCAGGGGGGGGATGTGGCCGGGGACTGCTCTGCTGTGGCCAGGGCAGACGCATGCATGGGGGCGGGGAGTGGGTGGCGGGCAGAGGCTTCTGGAGAAGTGGCCATGTCTCCAACCAATGCTGGCATTTTCCCTCAAGCCTGCAGTGTATTCTGCCAGCCCTTTCTCTGGGGCGAGGATGGCGGCAGGGCCGGCTCTCGTGAGTCCATGCTCCGTGCTAACTATACTTGAAGGCGATGGCAAATGCCCGTCAGCCTCCCAGCCCGGTGCACAGACACCTCTGCAGAAGACTCCAGAGCCGTGTGGTGTGCAGAGAGGACAGTTCGTCTCGGCCAGTAGGGAACTCTGGTCCTAGGAGACAGTCCTGCGTGTGTCTAACTTTGAACCCACTGATGCCCAGACCCCTGAGCCTGGCTCGCACTGTAGCTCTGCCTCTGAACCTCGGCCTTAGGGACAGGACTAGTCACGGGCCGTAGGATAGTCCATCGGCGTTCGTCACAGGTCCCGGCAAACCCTTGGCAGTTCTTCAGGTCACTTTCACAGGAACCCTGGCGATTTCTGGTGCTCCTTGTCCGTGCAAAACCCCCAAGCTCCCTACCATTGAGTCCTGCCCCAGGTCTCCCGGACAATGCAGAAGGCTCGACCCAGGGCCATGTTCCACACTCACTGGCGTGCTTGCCTCCGCTGTGGGCTCACTGGGATGCGGGGAAGGAGGGCCGCGTCTGCGGCAGAGCGAGTGTTAGGAGAGACGCCGCCGTGAAACCAGCCCCGGCTGGGCAGTTCCCCGGCGCTTCCTGTGAAGAGCCTGGTGACACCAGGGTTAAAGTGCTCCACAGCCAATCGAAAGGCCAGCGTTGGACCTCAGAAGGGGTGCCGTCAGCATCCGTGAAGATTGGGGGGCCCCGCTCCAGCGTAACCATGCACTGAGGCACCAGGCGTTGTGTGGGGCAGGGCTGCCCCCGTCCAGTGCTCACCCATGTGACAGACGGCAAGAGGGCTCGGCTCCCGCGGCAAGTGACTACAGGTCGCAGGCAGCCACAGTGCAGTTTCCACATGTGCGGTAGTCAGTCTCCTGGGTGTTTGTGGTTTGTTTTCGTGGAAGGTGTCACAGCGTGTCATGTGCGGCCTTCCTGGCCTCCAGGGCCAGGCAGCTCGGGCCGTCAGGAAGCCAGCTGCCGAGGCTGAAGGCGGCCCAGCGTGCTTGTGGACGTGCAGTGTGCCCCCTCCAGTGGAGCTGCTGCTTGTGGGTGGATGTGGGGTAGTTTTTTTAGAGATGTGGCCTATGGGCGGAGAATCCAGGCCACTGAGGCTCGCCGGCTGTAGTGTGTGGCCCCCAGCACTCAGTCCCAGTAGAATGGCACCACTTTGTCTTGAGGGCAGGGCACAGCTGTAGCTCGAGGGTGTCCTGTCTCGTGGCCTCCTGCTGGCCTGGACCCCAGCCATCCCCCGGCCCATGCTGTGGGGACTTTTTAACACATGCCACTGATGGCTGTGAGCCTCTTCAGGCTGGTCACAGCGAGATTTGCTCCTGGCCAGAGGGTTTTGGTCATTGAGCAGGAGGGCCCCACGCTTCCTGACGGGAGTTACCCACTGTTGGCCTCAGTCAGGGCCGCGCACTGGCACCTCCAGGGGACCCAGGCTGGGGCTGCAGTGTGCTCTGTGCGCGGCAGGGCTGTGGGGTGTGTGCTCTGCAGTCGGTGGGTTGTCCCCCCAGGTCCTGCCTTGCTGCGCTCCTACTGCGTGTACGTCCTCCTGCTTGCCATCAACGGGGTGACCGAGTGTTTCACGTTTGCGGCCATGAGCAAGGAGGAGGTGGACAGGTGCGTAGTCCCTGCAGCCGGGCAGGGGGTCCACTCGCCCACCGCTGGGCTTTCTTCCTGAGGGTGCCTGCCTTGCCCAGCCTCACTCTGGATGGCAGAGCCCGGGAGTGCAGGGGGCGGAGTGCTGTTAACTTCAGGGTTGGCGGTTCAGCCCTACCAGCTACTCTACCAGAGAAAGACAAGAGAGACCCCCTGCTCCTGTGGGGATGCCGTGTGAGGGTCGGGGTGCACCAGAATCACCACGCTGGGTAACAGGGTGGGCTTAGGGTCTGGGAGGGTCCCTGCCTGCAGCTCCTCACCTAGTAGCCTAAGAGTGCCCCCAACATGTTTGTAAGTTCTGGTAAATCTCAGGGCTTCTGGGACCCCTTCTCCCAGAGAAAGACCCAAGTGCACAGACCCATTCTGCTGTGTTCATGCCCACCCACTGACTGGGGCAGGACCCCTACCCTAAAGCCTCAGCCCGGGGATCTGAACCCTGGCTACGGGGTGATGTTCCCTCAAGTAGTTTGCTGGAAATGCAGGCTCCTGCCCCAGCCTGTTTCCACCACCCCCCACCCCCCCTCCTGTGCCACCTCTTGGAGCCTCAGCAGTTCTGAGATGCACGCCTGGCTGGGCTTCGGTCCCACACCCAGAGCCATCTGCTGCATGGCAAGGCCCAGGAGCTGGGCAGCGTGTGTCAGGGCATGGCTGCGGGACGAGGCTGGGGGAAGGCTAGCACTGAGGTGAGAGAGAGGCCCGCTCCTCTGCTGCCCCTGCCCCTCCAGCCCTGGGTCCCCAGGGGGCTTCCCACACTGCCTCAGGAATGTCTTGGGTGCTGTCGAGACCACTGAGAGAGCCAGGGACAGGTGGGCTGGGGAAGGGGTAGCTCAGAGTGCTGGGAGCAGCCTCTCTGTGTTCCCCATCTGGAGCTAGCTCTCAGAGAAGCCAGGTGCCCTGTGGGCTGCACACTGGCTGGGAACTAGGGGAGGAGAGGGGAGGGGGAGGAAAGAGATAGGGTGCTGGGGACTCGCTCCCCAAGACTGGCTTCCACAGCAAAAAAAATCAGCACTGCAAGTCATCACACGCTGAGGTGCCGTGTTTCACCAAGCAGTCATGTCCCGGTGTCCGGGGACCCACTGACACTGACTGCTCTGCTCCAGAGGGGCCCGGAGTCCGAGGCTGTGGTGCAGAGTTAGAGCATAACAGCTCTGTTCCGTTTGTCACTTCTAATAGTTAGATGTATAGTTACAGAACTTCTGTCTTTTCTTTTCCACGGGTCTGAAAAAGAAACCACTGTCCCGTGGCAGCTGTGTCTCACATAGAATGGTTTTTCATACAATGTGACACTTGTTAAGTGTGACACTGTGGCCTAGTGGGAAGAGTCCAGGACAGGGAGTCTGTCCCTTTAAGAGAAACGTTGCGACACTGAGGTCAGCATCACGAGAGAAAGTCAGCACTCAGCCTGTTGGACTTGCTTAACAATACATTTCCCAACCCAGAGTTCCTTTCTGCCCTCCGCAGTTACAGCGATTTGCGCTGCCGTTAAGGCACCCGGCAGTGTGTAGATGTCTGGAAGCTGTGTTCAGGGTGGCGGGCCACAGAGAGAACAGACCGGGCACCCTTAAATGCAGCTCATGTCCAGGGTCATCATTTCCCCTGAGCACCAAACAGGCTCTGAGCACAGGCTGGACACCCGCCAGGCCCGACCGGGCACGGAGCCCCCGAGAGCCTTCCTCACACCCCGTTTCAGACTCTCAGGAAAGGGCGTTCGTCGTCAGGACTGGTGCAGATGGTTTCTTGTCAGGCATATCAGCTCCTACGAACAGCGACCTCTCCCCAACCACATTGTGCTTAGTGCGTATTTTCCTAATTAAAAGTAGGATGTCTGATTAGACGCAAACTCTGAGCCTCCTTGGAAGGGCAGGTCCTTTCGTCTCCTTTTTCCAACAGCCTGCAGCTCAGTAAACGTAGGATGCTCTTGTGAACTTTCCATTATGTCCCGGGGAAGCACTCTTGTCCTCTTTGGTGAAGGTTGTCTGGCTTTCTGTTCACTCAGCCAATCTTCTCTGACGTCCTGCACTCCCGTGGGCGCCGTCCTTCGCCCTGGGGAGAGCCCTGCCCACTGGGGCCCATGTCCAAGTGGGAGAAGCCGCAGGAGCTAGTCAGCAGATAGGAGGAATTTCATGAGGTGTGCGCAGAGACCTGACCGGGGCTGTGTGGTGGACAGTGCGGGGCGCTTTTGCAGCTGTGAGACCCCCCTGAGAGGCGATGGCATCGTCCGGGAAGAGTCCGCCGTGAAGCAGTGGACAGAGCCTAGCACGGAGGAGCCACGCTGCAGAGGCCCGATGCTGACAGCGTCTTTGCTGGGTGCGCCGGAGGACGGGTGGAGGCTGGCTCCGCTCAGGGCGCCCTGCCCGTGCCCTGAGAGCACTCACAGCACCCTGCAGGACGCCCTCCTGGGGTCTGGGGAAGCGGCGTTCATAAATAAGGGACTGCGTATATGAGCCCAGTGGCCGCTGCGTCCCCGCGTCCTCGGAACGCCCCTCCGCAGGCGGACGTGTCTGCGCGCGCGGCGGCGGCGCCCTCTGGTGGCGGGAAGCGGCAGCCTCTGTTGGACTGCGCATGCGTGAGCGTCATGGTGCTCTGCACACGCACATTGCAAAGCATGCAGTATGCTCACGTGAATGGCGCACACACGTATGCAATGTACCTGGTGTAGCCCACTCAGGAAGCTGTTGCATGAGGGGACTGCAGTTTTCAGAACATACAAAGCGCACGTTACTTGCGTAAAAATAGGGCAGCTTTCAATACCATTGAAAGTCCAGATCATGGGGTCCCTGGGCCCTTTCTTGTGAGTTCCTGTTCAGAGCCCCTGGGTGTTCACTTTAATAGTGCGGTGCAGCTGTCTCGGGAGCATGCCCTGGCTGCGCGAGGACTGACTGGCCTGTCTCCTCCTCTGCAGGTACAATGTCAGGATGCTGGCCCTGTCCTGCACTTTCCTGGTGTTCTCTTACCTCCTGACCCGCTGGTGCGGCAGCGTGGGCTTCATCTGGGCCAACTGCTTGAACATGGGCGCTCGGATCGCACAGAGCCTCTCCTTCATCCACCGCTACCACCGGCACAGCCCCCACAGGCCCCTGGCTGGACTCCTCCTGTCTCCCATGCTGCTTGGCGCCTTTGCCCTCAGCGGGGGCATTACTAGTGTCTCAGAGGTGAGCCTTCTGCAGCCTCACCCCGTCCACGCTCTTGTTGCTGGCCCCATCCCTGCCCAAGCCATCACTGGCTCCTCCTTGCCCTCCCCACGTGCCAGGCCAGTGTCCTAGCAGAGCCTGTGACAGGACAGTGCCACCAGTGGGAACCCACTGGGCCCCGGGAAGCAGTCTTGTGTCCTCCTCCCTCCTTAGCTGGGAGCCTGGGCCATAGGGCCTCGGCCCTGCCTGGCTGCCCCAGCAAGAACAGGCTGGTGCGGGATGGGGCGGATCGGGTCGGATCGGAGCAGGCACTGACGGCGGCTTCTCCCGCAGGTGTACCTCTGCTGTGAGCAGGGCTGGCCAGCCAGGCTGGCGCACGTGGCCGTGGGGGCCCTCTGCTTGGTGGTGACGCTCGGGATGGCGTTCCTCACGGAGACCAGGCTGATCCACTTTCTGAGGACTCAGCTAGGAGTGTGCAGACCCGCTGAGAAAGCCCGGTGACAGCTGGAAGCTCAGATACCAGCGTGGGCCAGCCATGAGGCTGCTGAGTGGGTAGAGCCCCGTGTCTGCCAAGCAGGGCCCTGCTGAGGGGCTGCAGAGTGAGGCCCACCCAGCCCATCACGAGGCCTCCCTGCTGGCCCTCTGCAGTCTTACCCTTGAGCGAGAACTCTTATTGACATTCAGAATGAGAAGCCATTTTTAGAGAGAAGTATTTTCATATCATTTTTTAACAAGCACCTTTATGCCTTATTACCAAGTGCATGCTGTTTGGGTAGGATCAACCTTGGGCACTCACTGCTCCAGCACACGGCCTGGGGTGTCTGCTCACAAGCTGAAGGAGACTTTCTACACACACACACACAGCCGCTCCTGTCTCAGAACAAGAGTCAGTGCCCCGGTAGTGGTTGCCCCTGCACTGGCGCTGTGGGTACACTTTTAGAGGGAGGACTCTTACTGGGGGAACCCAAGCACTGGGAGTGGGGTGTTTCTCGGATGGTTTTCCCGCT